TATGTCCTAATATTTAGTAGAAATATTACTTCTCGGGACAGGTACGCGATTAGTGCAACCACCGCTATTCATTCAGACATACATAAGCCAATTGGGCGTCCAAGTGGATACGATGGACATCGTACCTTTGCCGTGTCTCTTAAAGCCTCTTTATCTTATCCATCCTCTCCTTAGAAAAATGCTTGCTCGACGTATAACGTATTGGCAGAGGAAGGTCGACGCGTAGCCACTGCTTTACTTCCTCTTTCACCGCAAAAGACGTTTCTACCATCAAAATAAGAGCGTGAGATGTATGTCCATTTCAGATGTCCTAGGCGAGGGCACAATAGCTAATGTTAATGACAACCCTCCAGCCAGACGTGCTTGCTACATCACCAGGATGTCTATGTCATTGTATATCGCTGGTCGAATATATCAATATCACGGATGAAATCACTCGAAAAGAAAACATCGGCCGAGAACGCGCAAAGAGCGACAAATTATCTACTGCCATTTCGATGCACGAGAAAACCCTGAACGAGTTCTCATATCAACTAGTATCTATGGCGAAGAGCTAAGACACACATCACATAGGAGCTCGGGGTTCCAGTACCCTAGCTGCCGACTTCTCTCTCAAGTACCGTTCGTCTTCTAGTAGTTTGGACAGTCATGGAGGAAACCCATGCTGTTCAAAGTAGCAAGGGTTCTGCGAGGAATATTCCCGCCCGACCCTTCTACTTTGGAGCTCATGAGCATAGACATTTAACCCAGGCGTGGTTGTGATCAAGAACCGACAAAATCAATCATTTCATGAAGCGCATGAATGGTTACTTTGTTTTTCAATTATTAATTTTCCTTGAAGACTTACTTTAATAATCATCACAGGAACGTGTACTCTTGGCGCGCATGCTGAAGGGCTTTCGGTGACATGAAATTCTGAAACTGTTGGTCATATACATATCCTAAAATGCATCGTTAGCTGTCCGAATTTACTTTCTCTTGTCCAGACTTATAATCATTCCAACATGAACAATCGAAAATCAGATAGGAACAACCTCGTCTCATCAGACGATAGTCATGACAAGTGTGTTCGTATATTATACATTATTGGCACTCGTTTTCTCCTCTGAGCAGAATTTAGTACTCCGAAGGCCTGTTCTCTTTGTACCAGAGGGCTTCTGCTTCTGACTTATACGGTGGGGGGTTGATGCCGTTCATCACCTACATGCCTCGCTATAGTACAACCAAGTCGTCAACTTCCACAGTATTCAAGACCAACTGGAAATACCCACGTCCATCTCCGCGATTTGTATCTCCCAGTCAGCACCTCGTGCCTTTATGAACGGCTCCAATGCCTTGTTGTATCCCTTGCTGAACTCTTTCTTGTACTCATCACTACATAACCTTCTCAATCGCGCACCGATTATAACGACCTAGGAGCATACCTGAAATGGGCGGCCATATGGTGCACAACTATGCGGACAAAGTTGTCGGTGGCCTCCCCTCCGACGTGGAAATTCTCCTTGTCGACCTCAATGAAGATCACGACGACGTAGAATTTGGGCAAGTTGGGGTAGCACTGCTGGACGGCTTTGACGACAGCAGTTTTATCCTCTTTGGAATACAATCCGACAGGAATGTAGAAGCGGTGAAGAGGCATGTTCGTGAGTGAGGTTTGTAAGAGTATCTTTGACGAGTTTTTATGCAAGCTCAACGGTTCGGGATCCTAATACTTTGGTGGCCGACCTCGGTTACTAATGCTTGGTAACGGCTTCGGCTACAAGAAGCATGAAGTCAAGGACATTGTTGTTTCTCCCGAAGCTGCCGTACAAAGGTGTACGATCAGAGACGTATAAATTCCAGGTCCTCATTTCCGTTCATTTTCCAGAATAAGGGTATCACAGCATTTCACGACGCGCTTCATGCTGACACTGACGTTATACTTCTGAATACTTATCCTACTCCATCCTGGTGGGTGTGTGAACGTCTCTCGTCGAACAGCAAATGCAGATCCACGATCAGTAGATAAGCGGACCGGGTTAATACTCACCGTCATAGCCCACTTCTGATTTGCCAAGAAGATGTAAAGTTTAGATACCCGGACAAATCATGATGCCATACTTGGAAAAGAGCAGACAATTTTCGGTTTCAACACTTGTTCAGGATCGGGAAAGAAATCAAAAATTGAACATTCGAGACCTATGTCTTCAGACCCAGATATAACGAGCACAGATATTTCTATCGAGCAGGGACTTGTTCATGTGGCACCACGATTGATGAGACGAAAACAGACGAAACGCAAGGGTAGTCGGGCAATAGTCAAAAAATACCAACTGTCATGGGACGAAGACGCGAAGATATATGATCGATCGCCTATCGACAAGAATAGAGAGCCCTTGTTCAAGACTCGAAGTTTAGACAGACTAGGCCAAGATTCGAGTTCTCTCATAGAACGTGACCTGAAAGTTTCTCTGGCAGTGGAAGGGTACTTCCAAAAATTCGGCCAAGTGCGAGCTGGGATATTGGTTGCAGAAGACATCCGGGTTTCAGCAAAGCAGCTCACCGATTCGCATTAGCCCTGTCATTTACGAAACGGCGGGTCGGGGGAGGGTGTCTCGCGTAGTGTGCGCCGACAGCAAGCGCCGAAGAAAAGAACACAGTGTACATGAAGGTTGCCTGCTGCAAACATGAAAGAACAAAGCATTTATTTGCTGTGGCATCTTCCGACTAGGACGTGGGTATGTGCTAGAGCCAGAAGACAGTACACGATTAAAAAAAATACTGAGTGACTATAAATCCACCGAAGAAGGCTATGCTTAACGCGTTACTTATTAGTGAATGTTGATCTGTCTCGAAATCATGCAATCGCGGTCTCCATTGTGTGGCACATGCGTTTCGTAGTAATCCACCGCTGTCATCTGATGGTAACTCACATTCGGATGCAGAATCACGTCTGCACAGATGTAGTCGGTGTCGGCATTTGCACGGTTTCGACTCTTTGTGAACCTAATGATGGCCCTACTCGAGCTCGATCTGAGAACTAGGAAAGGATTCAACTTCCTGTTGTAAGTAGAGAGCAGAGTAATGTACAGAGGATTAGAATTAGCCTCGAGAGAGAGAGACGTTCTACTTAAATACATTTTTTTGTATTACTTGGAGATCTTTCTATGAAATACTAAATAAGTCCGGATCACGATCCAAGTCAGCTGCCGCTGACTGGCATCGTATCTTCGAGTACATTCTCGTACTCGCTCAGGATTGCTATCCCAACATAAGAGGACAAGAGTGACATACAGTTTTCCGTTTTCAAGAAGCTGTTCCCAAAAAGTTGGTCATCATGTCCACAGTCATTAGTTAATTACTAGGCACTGACAATCCACTGGGTTGATGGCGTCATTGGTTATCGGGTCTCACATTACACTCTTACCAATGACACAGAAGGTCTTCAGTTCGAATCTGTGTCAACTCATCAGCGGAAGAAGTCAATTTTTTTTGTGGTATTTCTGGCCCATAAGGCTTGCTGCCTTGCAGGACCTTCACTCAATGACGTTCACAGGTTGAGCGACGAGGATTCATCTCCCATTAGGTTTGTGCCTCCTTTTATGCAGGGAGGCGTCATACCGTCTGTTTGGGTTTACAGTTACGAAGATTTGCCCATTCACGCTCCAACCTCCAGATTTGAGAAACGTTCCTTGGTGCTATGGCTTCGGGCTGCATTTCCCCACGTCACTATCACTATCAATATCTCGGCGGCTGTGAAACGTTACTTAGATACTGAGTACCAGTCGTCTACATTCATCTCCTTTGATTTCTTGAAAAAGGATACGCGTTAGTATGTTCGAAGATGATTGTGATACGTGGATTTATCTCTCATGCCCAGCTTCTAGTTTTATGGTGCTGACCGATTCGAAGAGTTTGGACAAGAGGCTTCGGAGGAGGACTTGAGGGATCAGATGTAAGTACAGTTCAACAACGACACGTTTATTACGATCCTGACTCAAGCAATAATGCATAACACTTGAAGGTTCCGACATTTGTTCAGTATTCGTGTGTGATGCACGAACGTTCGCAGTTTTTACGCCTTGACAAAGTACAGAAAATTCTCCAAGACGGCATCTCGCCGATGAACTTCGTTTTACAGAGTATTTTCTCGATTACATTGACGATATTGTGCGGGTACAACAGTAGATATAAGACCCTCTCAGAAAAGTTATACAGAGAATGGTGTAATACAGCCACGAAAACGCTGTAATTATGGTCAAATGACGAGCATCTGCGATATTTCGCTGAAAACATACGGACAGTCAAGCTAGACCTTTGACCCGAAATAGAAACCAGAGCAGAAACAGAGAGAGTACCACGAGCCAGAGATATTTGGACAAGAGCAGGCGAACGATCCTCGCGGTCTTCAACCTAGTTCAATGAAAAAGTTGATGCATCAGGGCGATACAGCGAGGAGAATAATCACCGATAATTGATCCGCCTTTCATGCAGGACTAGAATCCTGTACGCAGCTAGAATGAAATAAATATGCTAGGCGTGTACAAAGCGATCTGTGAAACGTACGAGAGTCTTCACCAAACGCTCTACGCACTTCAACCTTCGTCTCCACGATTTCCGCCGCCAGTTCAAGAAGGAAAGATTCTCTCTGTCGAGAGTCTTTGCACTGTGCTATTACTTTTTCGGCCAATTCCAGGGTCTTGTCGAGTTCAGAGGTCATGGTGAGTTCTAGCCGACGCATGAGATCTTCGAGTTCGTTGTAAACTTCGAGTATTGTGAGGATTAGGGGGTCTGTTGTCTCGCCGGAAGGTAATATTGTGTTGCTGGGTTTGGACACTGCTGCGAGCTTGAAGAAAGGAAAGGGCGGGGTATAGACGGTGGTGGTAGATGGTGGTGGTAGTGGTTCGAGCCGTGTTTGAAACTCCGAAGCTAGCTGCCGTTCTTTGTCATCCCTACCGTCCATTCATCAGCACCACAAGCCAAGTGTCCCCGTGAATACGAATGAATCAACTGTTTTTTTTTGTCCCAGAGTATGACAGGCAGGAAGATAAGCTGAAAGGATTTTGGCCGATATGAGGCTCTTTTGGAGATGTTACGGTCACTTGATTTCAACATCGGAAGTACAAATCAATAGCGACGCATCTATTACAACCTTGGCAAATTGGCTCAGGTAGTAATCCTTGAATGTTTCGGCGTCTGCTCAGTATCCGCGCGTAATGCACGAACATTCGTAAATTCGCGCTTTTGATTAACATTCACCGCTTACTTACAAAGGCAAGAGTATTCAGATTTCATCACGACATTCGGTGCGACAGTACACATAAGATGCTTTCAGGAAAGGTATACGGAGAATAGCATGTGAGATCCAGTCCGGTGCGGTGTGCCAAACAAGTGTGAAGTTCACATTCCTCGATAACTTTTTTTTGTCGTTGCCTTCGCCTTTTCGTCGCGTCGTATCTCTTTCGTTTCTTATCCTATCGCTTTGGGACTCGAAAGAGTTGTTTTGACGCATATAAAGAATAGTTTTATCCCATTTCAGCTGGTGAAAATGATGCCGTTGTCGTCTCTTGGTTTCCTTGCTGGCGTGCCTTGGTATTCCAGTCTGCTCTCTGCCGTTTGGGTGTTACCGGCTGTCGGCAGTCGCTAAAGGTGGTGTTGGGATTTTGCTGGAAAGTTCTAGAAAGGGCAATCCGGCATCATGCCGAGAGTTGATGAGTAAGCTCGAGAGAAAGAGAAAGTTGTAGTAAATTCTGGACATAAGTCTGGAGAGTATAAATACAAGCTCTGTAGGAGCTGTAGAATAAGGAGTTCATACCATCTGGCCTTACCAGCCTGGAGTCTACCCTGCGCATCACCGAGGATTTCCAACAGGTGGGTACCCCCCCAATCCATATTATTCAAGGATTCAACAGCGACACTCCGCCATCAACGTTCAAAATCACCCCGTTCATATAGTCCGATACTGCTAGATAGATTGCCATCAGCAATCAGTAATATTCCACGACACCACGACGACGTCCCATGTCTCCTCCTAGGTGGCGGCTTTGTCTTGATCGTCTCAATAAACTCAGTACTGATCAGCTCAATGCCAGGCGCCAGCACGGTAGCTTCCTGAGTCAAGATTGGAGGGAACAGCAGGGTACATACACAACCTCCATGCGCCGCTGTGTTGATCTTTGCAGCTGCGCTATGGTGCTTGAGGTTCCTTGTGGACGGGAATGGGCTCCATTGACGAGGAGGAAATGGAAAGTGCATACGACGAAGAACAGCGTGATCCTGTTCAGGGCGAAAATATCTGTCCAGTTCTGTGCTGTCTCGAGTTGGAGAGGGTCTGTTGCGACGGATCTCTTTGTATGCTGTAGTGTTGAAGCGAAGCACTGAATATGATGAACACGAGGTGTGACGCGGTACACATATAATCAGCCAATTTTCCCTCCTCACTTGGTTTTCAGGGACAAAAATGTAGAATACATAGCACAGAAGCAAGGACGAAGAGACAGCTCAACAAGTTGGGACACCTAACTCGCCCTTCTCGGTGTTGAGCAGGAGCACGAAAGGAATGATCTTCACCAACGGGACCTCTGACTTTGAGGTAAGTGGTATGTCCCTTACATACCCCTTCTGTGCGTCATATTCATGTTGCTTCAGACGCGTATGTACCCCTGCCCCGAGTAATTGACTCCTTCATATTTTGTAGCAGGAAATTGCGAAAGAACGTGTGCATGTAATATGGAATGTGTTCTGGATTGATAGGATCGTGAAGGTGGGCGGCGCTGTAGTCAGTGCTACAATTACTCAGCGGGGCTTATCTCACACCAGGGTATCCAGCAGATTCTTTCACTATATTGCCGTACACCTCTCGCGAAGTACATTCTAGGGCTTTTGACGTGAAATAGCATGAATAATTATCATCAACTTTGGTCATTTCTTGGTACAACACGTGGCCACTAGCCGATAACTAGGGATACTACGTTGCTGCCGCGAGCATGACGACTTTTGTCGGCTGCGGGTCGTCTCCGGGATTGATAGGCGATCATGAAGATGGAGTTAATGCTACAATTACTCAGCTAAAGGGCTCTTCTCACATCGAGGGATCCAGCCTCAGTTCGTCAGCGCTCTTTCACTATATCGCCGTGCACCTAGTCTCGTCCCCATCAATTTCGGTGAGATTTTCTCTTGTGCAGGAAGATCGTGTGAAAACAGGGTACAAAACGGTGAGTTCCCTGCCAATCTCTGCTCAGGTGGTCCGCTTTCTCCGTAGAGGGAACTCACCGAAACGAGGCTAGTGCACGTCTCGCGAAGTACATTCCTGGGTGCCCGACATGAAACAGGAGAATAATTATCATCAAGAATGCTTCCCTGGCACGACGCGCGTCCGCCAGCCGATGAACAGGGCTGCTATAATGTTAATAATCCATTTACCGTACACACCGGGGTATGGTCTCGCTGAATAAGAGCTGAATTCATGTCATCTAGGCGGTAACACTGGAATAAAAGCATGGATTCCAGAAAGTACTCAACATTTCACAACCATGACGGATCTCAATGTGACTACAATGATGTCGCTGTCGGGACGAGTAGGCCTCGTTACAGGTGGAGGGACAGGAATGCATGTTCTCTAATTCTCGGTTATGGCTCACGGTTGACTCTCTGACAGAGGATTCATGATTGCGAAAGCCTTTGCTGCGAACGGGGCAAAAGTATATATCACTGGCCGAAGGCTGGACGTGCTTAAGAAAGCCGCGGCTTCTGTTACGGGCGTTCCAGGATCCATTGTCCCGTATGCAGCTGCTCCTTCCAATTGCATTCGTCCCTGATACGCCTATAGTTTCCGGATGGATGTCACCGATGAAGAAAGCGTCAAGGCCGGTGCAAAATACATCGAAGGAATCGACGGGAAGCTCGATATCCTCGTCAACAAGTCCGTCTATCACAGCCTTGGTTCCTCGTCCATGCACTAATTAATATCTACGCAGTTCCGGAATTGCTGGGTCACGAAGGGACCCAGACTTCGCTGCGAAGAAATATGCCGCAGAGACTCGGGATCCTTTCGAGCCCGAGACGGTACAGAACTGGGAGGACATCTTCGCACTAAACACGATCGCCGCATTCTTCGTCGTACGCGCCTTCCAATCTCTCCTCGTCAAAGGGGCGCAGTCCCGTGCCCAAGGCACATCCAGCGTCATCAACATCAGTAGCGTGGCGGCAAAGCTGAACGGGCTGAGCCCCGCCACATCCGTATGTGCCATGCCATCCCTTTGAGTTTGTGTAAGCTAACCTTGATTTTTTAGGCAGCATACAATGTAACAAAAGCTGCTTTGGACAAGCTCACGCTTGTTCTGGCAACGAGTTTTGCTGGGAGGAGTATCCCGATTAGGGTGAACGTGCTGGCTCCTGGTCCGTTTTTATCTGAGATGGCTACTCATGAGCAGTTGGAGATGATCAAGAATAACACTCTACCTGGATTGGTCGCACCGGTTCCTGCGAAGAGGTCGGGGACGTGAGTATGTTCATTGTTTGGATCAGATTGAATACTGATTTTGAGTTTCTAGTGAGGCGGAGATGGGGATGACGGCGATCTACTTGGCCGTGTCGGACTTTACAAACGGAGCGGTTTTGAACCTGGATGGAGGATTATCGTTGGTCAATCCTTGATTGATGTAGAGCCTCATTTGTCCAGTAGTCACGCATGACGCACGGACGTTCGCAGTTTTTGCCCCTTTGACCGACCGGAGAAATTTTTCCAAGAAGACGATGGGTTTGCCGATGAACTTCATGTACAGAATATTTTCCAGATTTACATTGACAACAGCAGATATGAGATCCTATCAGAAGAGGTATACAGAGAATGGTGTAATACAGCCACGAAAACACTGTAATTATGGTCAAACGACGAGCATCTGCGATATTTCGCTGAAAATGTACCGACAGTCAAGCTAGATATTTGACCCAAGACAGAAACCACAGGAGATACGAAGAGAGTATCACGAGCCAGAAATATCTGAACAAGAGCAGGCGAATGATCTTCATGTTCCTGAGCCTAGTTCAACGAAAACGTTGATGCGTCAAGGCAATACAGCGAGGAGAATAATCACCGATAAACGACAATCCTTTCTTGCAGGACCAGAATCCTGTACACATCTGGAATGAAATAAATATGCTAGGCATCTACGAAGCGACCTGTGGAACGTACCACAGTCTTCACCAGATCTATTACGCACTGCAACCTTGATGTCCACGATTTCTGCCGCTAGTTTACGAAGAAGAGATTCCTTCAGTCGATAGTCCTTGCACTGTGATATTGCGTTTTGGGCCAATTCCAGGGTCATGGCAAGTTCAGAGGTCGTGGCGAATTCTACTAGCTGACGCTCGATATCCTCGATTATTTTGCAAGCTTCGAATATTTCGAGGAGTAGGTGGACCGTCGTTTCGCAGGGAAGTAATATTGTGTTGCTGGGTTGGGACATTGCTGCTTGCTTGAAGAAAGGTATATGGTGGCGCTTCAAGTTGTATTTGAAACTCCGACGCTGTAACCGCTCCGATTCGTATACTGCGGCCATCTGGATGTCCAATCCTTGCTAGCCCTCCAAATCAATGCCGTTGAAATCGCTATCAGAGATAGTGAGTGCTCAGGCCACTGACGAAGACAAGAAGCTTTTTTCGAAAAAGGTTTATAAAGATACGGCAACATGAATATCATTTTGCTTCAACCAACCAATGTTTTTGGCTTCAAAGGAGTTCTATTCTCATCTATCAATTCCAGCGTAGAAGTGGAGCCTAGAAATGAGGACGAGAACGAAAATAGCGCGACGATGCACACATATACATGTCGAAACTGCTCACAGTTTACCCGGCACCGATAGAGGGCGAAGGTGGCCATCTTACGCTATGAGCTCGACTGTCTATTGTTCGTCTTCCTTGGCCCACCTACCCTTCCGGCAAGTCGTTACGTACTCAGGGTCCCTGGGATTATACTGTTTCATTGGGATGAAGCACTGAAAATGATAAACACAAAGTATGCGAACTGCTATAGAATTGATGTGTTACTTACTCAGCTACTAAGGAATTCCGAATCTTCTCTTTCTATACCGGTTTTCTCAACGCTTTAACTCTTTCAAGGCCATCGAAAAAAAAAAACACACACGCACAAGAAATCCTTTCTTCACATGACGAGCTTCCAGAATAAGAGTGGCCTCAATTTAGGTCATGATGCTGACGGTTTGTCGGAAAAGATGAACGGCGTCGGATGGGCGATAAACCGCTTATTCAGTTGTGCTGAATAAGTGGTGCAACTTCTAATAAAAGGGCTCACGACTGAAGGCCATTCGAGACCCTCGGCATGGCAGATCTCAGCATGGCTACGGTAATGTCACTATCTGGACGAGTGGGTCTCGTTACAGGCGGGGGCACGGGGATGTAAGGGTCAGTATTCTTCCTTACGGCTCGTGGTTGACCTTTCGATAGAGGATTGACCATCGCTAAAGCCTTTGCTGCAAATGGAGCCAAGGTATACATTGCTGGCCGAAGGCTGGACGTGTTGGAGAAAGCAGCTGCGTCCGTTACAGGCGTCCCCGGATCTATTGTCCCGTATGCGATGTCCCCCGTCTCCCAGTTAAGCACCCCATGAAATGACGTGCCTACAGACTCCGGATGGACGTGACAGACGAAGAACACGTCAAGGCCGGCGTAAAGCATATCGAAGGAACCGACGGCAAGCTCGATGTCCTCGTCAACAAGTTCGTCGATAATCGCTGGGACCCCCTCCATTACGCTAACCTTTTGGCACTAGCGCCGGGTTCGCCTCCCCCGTTCGGGATCCTGACTTTGTCGCAAAGAGGTCGGTCGCAACGGACCCTTTCGAACTCGAGACAATACAGAACTGGACAGATATTTTCGCCCTCAACACGATCGCGCCGTTCTTCGTCGTACGCGCCTTCCAATCCCTCCTCGTCAAAGGAGCGCATTCCCGTCCACAAGGCACCTCAAGCATCATCAATATCGGTAGCGCACTCGCAAAGTTAAACACAACCCCGCACATGGTTTGTGTATGTACCCTGCTGTTCCCTCCAAGCTTGATTCGGAAGCTAACATGACCATGGTAGATGGGATATGGTGCGACGAAAGCAGCGTTGGAGAAGCTGACGCTCGTTCTGGGGACGAGTTTTGCCCAGCGGGGCGTCCCCATCCGGGTGAACGTGCTATCGCCAGGTGCATTTGCGAATGAGCTGACCAGTGCTGAGTTTATTGAGACGATTAAGACGAAGCCGCCACCTGGGTTCGTGGCGCCGGTACCTGCGAGGAGACTTGGGACGTGAGTATGCTCAGTCGCA